TAGCCTACCTGTCTACCAGCCCATTGGCCCATCTGGATGTTTTGGCATCTGTTCATTAGCCCAGCCCACAGGTCCGCTTGTCAGCTCAGTAGGACCTCTTGAAAGGACAAGATAATTCTGTCAAGGTCTACTAGTTGGCTCAGTAGAACCTCCTGGAAGATCAAGATATGGGTTTGTCAACCAATGTGATTCTCTATTTTATGTAGATGCTTCTGGACTGGAAATTTGATGGAATGACACCCTTTCCCCACATCTCAGCAAAGAGAATCTGCTAAGAAGGAATAGGACTTCTTTTCCCATTGGAAGCCAGAAACCAAGCAAGATATGAACAAATGCAATAGTTAGGCACCCACCTATCCACTACACAATTCCAGGGGAGACTCAAGATTAGGCAGAAGATACAGCTAACATAATAGAAGTACAGATTCCATGAAGGGAAAAAATGACTCCCAGGGTCAGAAGTCATGAAATATCCCTTGACCTCACACATTCCCTACCTGTGTACCTCACTACCTTGTGGTTTAAATTTGAACCCACTTTCCGAAGGGACTGTGTATGTGCACACCCTTGGTTTGGGGAGTATTTTGTAACTTCCGTCTTTCTCAGCAAATATTCCTTTTGAAAAAATTGAGGTTAGTAAATATTCCATTTGAAAAAATTAAAGAGAATATCAGATGGGAGCTCATCAGCAACAGTACCCCAAAATCTGTCCACTCAGGGTTACCCCTAGAACCTTGAGGAGAGAGGTGGTCATTGCCTTTTGGGAACCTAACCCACCAGTGAACTTCACTTGGGAGAGTGAACCCAGAGGGGTGCATTTAGTTCTCATTTTACACTACAAAATTCAGACACCTGAATACTAAAGCCTGCTTTGTGCAATTGTGCTTACCAAACAATGAATTTTCTATATTATAGGATCTTAGATTAGAGCTGAAAAGGACCTTAGAGTGCAATTTCCTCATTTTACCATTGTGGAAATAAGCCCAGAGAAACTAAATGTTTTGTAAGTGGTAGAGCTAATATTTGGATCCAGGTCTCCTGATTTAATCTCCCCAAGACCTCAATTTCTTCATCTATAAGAGAAAGGGGTTAAATTAAATGGTTTTCATCTTCCAAGTCTAGATCTATGTTCCTACTGGGGGCTTTTTCCATTATATCTTGCCATCCACCTAACTGTAGGTGTTATGTATTATACTTAGGATCATAGATTTGGAACTAGAAGAAAACTTGGAGGTAATACAGTTCAAAATCCTCATTGTAAAAATGAAGAAACTGAGGGCCAGTGAAGTGACTTGGCCAAAGTCTGATTCTGAATTTAATGTTCTTCAGATTCAAAGGGCTATGATCTGTCTTGTTAATTGCAGTTCAAAACTTTAGGGAATTCAAATATAGCTTTCAAATGTTGATTTCAAATACATTCCTCAAATGCCATCCTCTTTATTGTCTTCTGGAGAGAAAAGCAGAGCAGTTCATTGAATTGAACACAAATGATTATCAGGGGAAATATAACTGGCCTCACTAGATGGCACTCTAGCTACATTGATTTCCCAACACTAGGTCTCTCCTGACCACAGATATCAACTGAAAAGAAAAGTTTTCCTGATGCCTTTTCTTTTTATATCGAAATTTTCCCCCAACATACCCTACCCTAGTCTGCCTCCACATAGAACTCATAAAAAAGAAATGCAGTTAAGCAAAATTGTCTAATATAGCACCCATGGCTCCAGGAATATGCAAGATTTTGTTCCTATGGTCCCTAATGTCTCTATTGAGAGAATTGTACCTAATTATGTGTTCTCTATGGCCATTGCATTTCATCTGAATTAAGCTGAATTTTAGTCTCAACTTTATTTCTATTATTAAAGTCATTGTATATTTTCTTTTTTCTAGTTCCATTTTCTGTTCTGTATCCATTCGTATGTTTTATCTCATTTACCTCATCCCTCATGTTTACTATTTTTGGCAGCACAATGATATTCCATCATTTTCATATACCACAATTTATGCAGTATTTTCCCTATTTGATGGGCACCTACATTCTTTTTAGGTTTTTGTTTTTTTCTTTTTTGCTACCACACAAAGTAATGTTACAAATAGTTTACTATATATGGCATGGAGTACTTCATTTAGAAAATGTCATTCTGGCTTTTGCAAACATTTTTCTTTGGGCAGAGTTGGCTGTATGGTATGGAACCTGAATAGAGTTGGTCTCTTGCTTTGGTCTGAATCTCATGATCTTAGACATTAGAGTAGTGACAAAGTCATGGAAGGCACACTTATCAAATTTGTTGTTAATACAAATTTGGGAGGAATAGCAAACACACTGCATCAGGATTCAAAAAGAACTTGATAGGTTTCAAGGTCAAATCTAATAAGACAAAATATAATAGGTATAGGTGTAAAGTTTCACACTTAAGGTCTAGAAATGAACTGGGTTTTTAAAGCTTATGAGGGAAGCAGGACCGGAGAATGGTTTGTCTGACAAAGATGTGACAAGCTTAATGTAACCTTAGGATGGATTGAGAGACAGTGTCCAAATGTCTGGAGTATTGTGTTCATTTCCATATACCACATTTTGGGAAAGTCTTTCAGAAGCAGGGGAGGATGGAGAAAAGAGATCGTGTAAGGACTCAAAATCATGCCTATAAGGCTCAGTTGAAGGGATTTCTGGAAGATGAGCATTTACTCTGGAGAAGAGAAGAATGGGTCGGGGTGGAGGTGGAGGAAGGTGGAGGTGGAGGCAGCATGACAGATTGTATCATATGAAAGAGGATTAAATTTGTTTTGCTTGGTCCCAGAAGATAAAGTGAAGAGCACTGATTGGAAATTACAAAGAAATAAATTTAGGTTTACTGTCAAGAAAAACTGTTAACAGCTAGAGTTATGTAAACACTTACCCCTTCATTAACCATCTTCAAGTAAAAGCTACTTTTCTACTTATTGGATATATTGCAGCAGGGATTCTTGGTTAGCCATGAGTTAGACTAGATCCCCCCTGAGCTTCCAATTCTTAGATTCTGCAATTCAGTGCTATATTCTCTCAAATTCTGCTGATTTTTAACATTGGTTTTTTTGGGGGGGTTTGTTTGTTTTTTTTTAAATCAGCTCTTTGAGCTCAAGAGCTTTGTCATATGCCTCTTTGTAAACCCCCACATAATTTTATCTCAGGACCTCAAATATAGTAGATAATCATCAAATATATTTTTGGTGATGGAATATAAGCTCCTTGAGGTCAGGGACCATTTAATTTTTGTCTTTGCATCCCCAGAATCTAACCCCATGCCTGGAAAAAAAAGGAGGTCCTTAATAAATGCTTGTGGATTGATTATCAACAGATACAGCAGCGGCAATACTTCCCCAACCCACTGCTGTCAGCAAGCATTCACCTTGTTTTATTCAGATATTCGGTTTCCCTGCTGCTCTTACATTTGTTTACTACCAGGCAGAGAAAAAGGTCTATTGGTGTCCTCATTCTTTTTTTTTTTAGGGAGAAATTTGGAAATACAGTATAGCCTGCCTTCTACTTAGGCAACAAAGGCAGCTGACTGTGCCAGAGAATGTGTAGGTTGCCAACAAAGGCCTTCAAATGGAAACCTGCCTCCACCTGTATAGAGAATTTTGATTAGAAGGGATGGGAATCAGGAAGGCCAGTCACCCTAAGACTAGGTAGGGAACCAAATGGTTCCAAATGGACATGCCTACTTATGGTTGGCTATAGTTAGTTACCTTTGATAGGAGTCAATATAGTGGGAAATTACCCATTTTAATTTTCACTTTCCAATGGGCTGATCTGAGCATAGGTTTGTCTCCCAGTAGACTTCAACAAGGGTTGTGACATGCAGACATCTACCACAGCAGAAAGAGTAAAATCACAGGATCTAAATCATCGCTCCAGAGCTGGAAAGGCCTGCAGAGACCATCTAGTCTTACCCTCTTGTTTTACTGATGAGGAAACAGGCCAGGAAGAGTGAATGCTTTTTTGTCCTAAATTGTACAATTGCCAGAACTAGGATTTGAACCCAGGGCCCCTAACTCCAGAATCAGTTTTCTTTCTTTTGCACCTCAAGATGAGAATTGTGTCTAAGGGCTTCATAATTTACTTTAAACATAAAATGGTGCAGAAACTAATGCTCAATAAGAGAAAGCAATCTTCTTGAAAAGTGAAACATAATTTATTATAAAAACAGAAAACAATTTGTTTTGTCCAGAGCTTGAGATATAAAGGGGCTCCAGGGTTCCTTTGTCGGCCTTCTTATTTCATCCCATCTTAGTGGGTGAAAATACCACAGAATATCCTGTTTTGTTTTCTCCCCTTTCCTCTCTTTGATAAGAGTTTTAAAAGAGGATGATTGAGGGTGGGAAAGTGGAACATGAGGAGGGTTTGGGGGATGGATGAAGTGTATAGTGAAGGAAAGGAAGCAGGATTTGACATTTGGGAGCTGTGAGACCCTAGGCATCCAGGATGGAGAAAAAGGCCTTGAGAGAATTTGGTGAAGAAAGTGGGGTAGTTTGGGGAAAAAGACTGGAGGGACATAATAGCTGTCTTTGAGTATCTGAAGGGCTGTCATGTGGAGAAAGGATTGGATTTGTTCTATTTGGCTCAGAGGGCTGAAGTAGAAGAAAATCAGCAGAAGTTGCTCCTAACAACGAGAGCTGTCCAACAGCTACCTAGAGCAGTAATGGATCCCTTCCTCTTCTTAAGTCTTCAAGCACAGGTTGAACAACCACCTGTCAGGTAATGATTCTTTTTACATATGGATTGGACCACATGGTCACCAAAGCTCCTTCCCATTCTCAAATGTTCATTTGAGCCTCAAAATTTCATCATCTCTAAACTTCTAGAGTCAGACCTCTCTGTCCCCTTCATCTTTGATATTCCTATGTGTTTTTCCCCTACAATAAGGGTTGATTATGACATTTAAAAACTGAGAATGTTATATAAAGTCACATCAATTGTGTCCTCTTAAATGGCAGGCATGATAGGAAGAAAGCTATAGACATTTAATTTAATAATACTTTTATTCTGAATAGGATAAGGTGAACTCAATACCAAAAACATGCAGCAAGAAAATAGAGATGGAAATTAAAGCTATTTATAGGACACTCGACAGAGGATCCCTGTCACAAAGTAACCCATTAGTCAAGGAATCATATTCCTTTTGCCCAGAATTAACAGATGGATCTGTGTTGTGCTAGTAACTTACCAAACTTGCTTTACAAATGCCCATTAACTCCAAATCCCAACCAAACCCTTCACTGAATCAGTCCCTCAAGTTAGAAACATCATAGAATGGTAAAGGGTCAAGAGCCCTTTATGATTTGAGTTTTATTCTGCAAAAACCTACCAAGTTCCCCTTCTTTTCCCACCATCATGCCAGACAAGAGTCCAATTCCCAGCCTTTTTCTTCCCAAGCTCAAAAGGTCTTTTTAGTTCAAATTGTAACAGATTGCAAGCATTGGAGGGACCTGACATCAGGTGTCCAAAACTCTTTTGTTTTCACTTGGAATCCACTGCTACCTTTTGGTGGGCACAACACCAACCAGATACACTCTAGGAAAGAGTTCACCCTCTGCAACAACAGACTGCTTTATTCTCTAGCTAGAGCCACTAAGCAGAACTAAACCAAATGAAAATTTCTGTCAAGACCCCATTTTTGCATGGCTTCTAAAGTCTGCCACAGACCCCCATATTCCCAGCCCAGTCAACCCTTGCACTGCCCTCTGTAATAACATCAGTGAATCACATGCACTAAATCTTTCACTCCATCCAAATCTGCACCTAGAACTAGCCTTACCAGAATTTGCTACATCTCAATGACCAATGGCAGAAGCTCATCCCCTGTAGATGGCTCCTCTGGAGATGTTTGAGAGTAGTCCCCAAACAAACAATTACCAAATAAATATTTATATCTGTATGATAATTTTTTTGTTTAAAAAAATTCACCTTATTCTCTTTTTTGAGAAAGGAGTGAAATAAAAAAATAGCTTTAAACAAAGAGGGCTATTCTATGTGATGACTGCATATGAAAAGTATTTATTGCTCCCTGCTCCAAAAATATTAATAACATGCCAAAGTTAGAAAGTAATTCTCTGGGTGCAAAGTTTATAGAAACCTGCACCTGTGTAAAAGTCAGGGTTAAGGAGAGCAGAATTTTCCAAAGAAAATGATATTGCGTGTTTTGTTGTGCCTGATGACATAAATAAATGGGTGGTCAGCATTGAATTCATCTTTATGTTGCAGGATTCGAGATCCTGGTACCTCTATAGAATCGCCACCATCTTCTGATATTTCTAAACAGGCTTTGTGGATGACATTGGACAAAGCCACTCCCTTAGTCTCTGATAGCCCTGAGAAATCACTTGTACTTTCATCAAAGACATTTTTCATTCCAAGGCTCTCCAGATCTGTTTTAGGGTCAATAATTTTTTCCACCTTAAATTTAGGAATTGAAAGTTTCACTTTGGCACTGGCCATTGTACTGGGGTTGGTCCACTCCTGAAGAGTCTCAGGGCTGAGTTCTTTCTCAACCTGAAAGAAGAAAAAAGCAAAGCATAGTTTATTACCAAGGGGCATAAGAGGAAAAAAATCCTTCTTTACCTCAACTCCAAACATAAAAATGACAAATCAAATCAATAAGCATTTATTAAGTACCTACCATATGCCAGGAACTGGCAAAGGCACCCGGGATATGAAAATTAAAAAAAAAAATACTACTGTCCCTGCCCTCATGGAGCTTGCACATGCACATCTAAGTAGATACAAAATACACAAAGTAATTTGAGATGATGGGATTTCTTGGGGCAAAGATACTGGAGTGGTTTGCCATTTCCTTCCCCAGCTCATTATACAGATGAGGAAACTGAGGCAAACAGGGTTAAGTGACTTGCCAAGGGTCACACAGCTAATAAGTGTTGGAGGCCAAATTTGGATTCAGGAAGAAGAGTCTCCCTGACTCCTCTTCCAACACTCTATTCACTATGCCTCCTCGCTGCTCCCCATCAAGGCAACCTAGGTTTCATCAAATCCCCAAATGGTGGATTTTATAGCTGTTTTCCTGTTACAAGGAAGTGATTATATATGAAAGCATCACCTTGATTCCTTACCTTTTCCAATCCAGTTGAATCATCCTCCACATCTTTTGGTAGTAAAATGAGCATGCTTAGGTGCTTATTTTGAAAGGGAAGTTCTATGACCTTGCAGTTTATATCTTTGATGTTGCCCATGCAAAATGTAGCTTCTATATTCATCATTTGCACTGGTTTAGTGTCTGTCTGTAAAACAAAGGAAACTTGTAGGTATGTGCCACAATCAGGAAAGACTGCTTCTGTGCACAAGTTAATTTGCCTTTATCAGAGGGCTTAAAAATGACATCTAATCTCTCCACCTACTTCCAAATAAGATCACTTTCCCAAAGCTCCATAGAACATTTACACCCTCACTTGGTAAGGCATTCCAGGCTTTCACAATAACCTATGCCTGGATAGGCAGAGAAACTGTTAACACCAGCCTTCAAAGCGTTTATATCTTAACAAATAAAATAAGTCCTCCTGTCTTATAGTCTGGAGCAGGGCTGGAGAACCTGCAGTGTGGCCTTGAGGCTGCAGGTCCCTCACCCCTGGCCTCAAGTCACCTTGAAATCATCTAGCCCAGGGATTTTTAGCCTTTTTTGTGTCATGGACACCTTGGACAGGCTAGTGAAACCTATGGTGCCCTTCTCAGAGCAATGTTCCTAAAATATATAAAACACATAGGAAACTAATTATAATGAAATCATTTTTAAAATATTTTTTAAAAACCAAGTTCACAATACTATTGTTCTATAAGAAATGATGAACAGGCTGACTTCAGAAAAACCTGGGAAGACTTACATGGTCTGATGCTGAGTGAAGTGAGCAGAACCCAGAGCACTTTGTATACAATAGCAGCCACGTTATACAATGACTAAGAATGTTAAACTGAACCCTTCTCAGCATTATGAGGATCTAAGACATCTCCAGAGGCCTCAGGATGGAAAATGCTGTCCACATCCAAAGAAAGAGCTATGGAAGTCGAATCGCTCTCACTTAATTTTACCTTAAGTTGAATTTTGTTTCATCTTTCTGATGGTTCCTCCTATTGGTTTTAATTTTTACTTACAACTTCACTAATGTGAAAATATGTTTAATGGGTATGTAAATGTAAAGCCTATGTCAGATTGTGCGCCGTCTTGGGGGGGGGAGAAAAAGGGAGAAAAAATTTTCAACTCAAAAGTATATGGAAAAAAAAATTAAAAATAAATAAATAAAAATAAACAAATAAATAAATAAATAAAATGTGAAAAAAAATAAAAATAAAAACCAAGTTCACAGACCACAGATTAATAACCTCTGGTCTAGTCCAAATTCCCTGTTTACACACCCAGAAACTGAAGTCCATGGAGATTATGTGATTTGTCCAGATCACACAGTCCAATGCTTTCAGTGCTAGGATGAAAATCCCAGGCTCCTGACTCTTAGACCACTTACTACTACTCTTTCTCTCCATTTATATGTACTATGCTGCCTTCTCTTCCATAATTCCTGCTGGAGCTAACTTCAGTACCAATAATGATGCAAAATTACATGTCTTTTTTAATAACTACTTTGAAAAGTTCAGAACATCCATGTAAAGTAGAGTAAGTTGCCTCTAAATCAGGGGGTGTGGAACCTGCGGCCTTGAGGCCACACATGGCCTTCTAGGTCCTTGAGTGCAGCCTTTTAACTGAGTCTAAGTTTTACAGAACAAATCCTTTTATTAAGGTGATTTGTTCTGTGAAGTTTGGATTCGGTCAAAGGGCCACACTTGAGGACCTAGAGGGCCACATGTGTCCTCAAGGCCGCAGGTTCCCCACCCCTGCTCTAAACCTTCTGATTGTATTCCTTCTGGAAACCACAGAATGTGGTTGGTCCTGGGCAACAAAGTCAGTAGTTAGCTCATATTTGCCCATCTGCTTTTTTTTTTAAATTTTCCTCTCCACTGTCCCTTTGCCACATGGTTGATAGAAAACAATATTAGATTAGGAACCAAAAGACCCAGATTCTAGTCTCAACGCTGCCATTAGCTCATAAAGTAGATGCACAACTTGGGTGAATCACTTAAACTTCTATGGACTTCACTTTTCTTCCTCTGTAAAGTATGGATTAAATGGTCTCTAAGACACCTTTCAACTCTTAATATCCTTTGACCTGTGGAAAATAAACCGTTTCCATACATCTCTCTCCTTGCTCCCTTCTCCCACCTATACACACACACACACACACACACACACACACACACACACCATCAAAAATTACCAGTCCTTAGTTTCCTTCTCTTGTTAATCTATGATTACTTAATTCACACTATGGAATGAAGAATTGACAATTCAGTAATTCACCCTTCCCACTGAGGCACTGCCTTTTCAAAGGTTTGAAATTTTTCTGGTAAAAAAATTCAATGGTCATGTTAAGTCATCAGGGAAGATATTCATGGGCAATCTCGGAATCACTGGAAGGCAATCATCTCCTTCACTTTTCTCATATGACTGGAAACCTCTAGAGTCAGCATGGGTGAAGTAGATGACCAGGTTCTTCCTCTGGACTTACTATACTTAAAATAGGTCAGGGATTAGACTCCAGTTTTAAGATCTCTATCCAGTTAAATAATTGACAGCCCCTAAATTTAGACAGAGTTGTGGTTTCCCAAAAGCTTCATTTATTTCATATGCCAGAACTGAATTTGGGTCACCTACGTAGGAATAGCCAGATGTACTAAACTACTCATAAATAGCTTCAAAAATTTAGGGCAAGCCTTGAAGGAGATGGCATAAGATGTGAGAAAAGCTTTAATAATGTGACTCAAAAGTGCAAGGACTGACAGAAATCCAAGCAATCACAGGAAAGTAATAGCTTCTGCTGTCCTCAGGAAGAAAGCATCACCGGCGTCTGCCAGTGACATTTTATTGCCCTATTAGAAGAAACAGAGAAAGATCGCTCACATCCTAGTCCCTTATTAATCCTGTTCACAGAGTCAGGGTATCAGGCCTAGATCCAGCTTGAACAAGCTTTAAAATTTAATAAATGAGAAAGCTGGAGTGCTAAGGTTTTCCCCCATCTCAAAGGGCATCCGTTCATATTTTTGACAATTCAAAACTGGAAAGCCCATGGAGATTTCAGAGAAAAAAAAAGTCAAGGATGCTCTGACCTCTCCCTCTTCTCCCCCTCCCTCCACCATTACAATCTAGTTATAATGTGCTTCATTAAGTTTATAACTGGCACTAAATTCTACTAAGGGGTACCATTTAACGGCAGGTTTGAATTTTCATGTAAAAATTTTAAAAATAGGATATTTTGTAGAAATATTTCTAGTAACTTCTTAGATAAGAGGATCAATAGCCAGCCCAATGATAATCCAACATGATGTGAGAGTGGCTACCCACTGTAAGAACTTGCTTCATTAGGAATCTGGCTAGCACTGATGTGTTCTACAGATAGATTCTGGCCGATCTCTAGAGGATTCTCAGAGATCACACAGTCCAATGCCTTTATTTTCAGAAGAGAACACTGAAGCCCAGAGAAATCAAATGACTAGGGCAAGTCACTTAACCACTGTCCACCTCAGTGTCTTCAATTGTAAAATGGTGATCATGACATAACACCTACCTCCAATTTGTGAAGATCAAATGAGATAATATTTGTAAAGTGCTTAGCATACTTCCTGATGTATAGTAGGTGCTTAATAACTGCTTGTTTCCTGACTTCCTGTTGAACCCAAGTCTCCGTGCTCTCTCTCTCCCTATACTTTGCTGATTTTTGAGTCACTGCTATACCTCCCTAACTCAAAGTTCGGTACCCTCTCATTTCAGAATGAAAGCAAATAATGAAAACATAATTCACAAGACATTTGGGAAACTGGGGGATTTGTTTGTAAAGACTAAGAATAAAAGTTGGGGGTCTTCCCCTTTGGCATATCAGGCACCCCTTTCTTAATGAAAGAGGGGGCAAGTATTCTCTTCTATAGTCAATACCACTGATATTGTGTAGACCAGTGGTCTCCAACCTTTTTGGTGAGAAATAATTACTTTTATTTTCCTGATTAATTATTTTACAAATGTAACTGAGACCTATTCTCATGATTTGCTATTAACTATCAGCCTTGTTTTTTAGTAGCTATCAGTTATTACTGATAGTTTCACAAATAAGGAAACAGAGAAGTAAATTATTTTCCTAAGGTTACTCTCAATTTCAAATCTACTCCTTAATCTCAGGCAATAACTAACCTCTCATCAAAAGTAGAAATATCAATTTGCTTTTTAATGTCTTATGTAACCCAAGCCCCAAAGCCCATTGATATGGGACTCTTTCCTCATTTGTAGAGATCCATGACCCACATCTGTGTGAAGGGCAGGGCGGAGTTGGCAAGAGTAAGACAGAGGAGAGATTCAGTCTCTTCAGTCCTTTTGTATTCTTCCAGATTCCAGAATGGAAAGAAAAAATGCATGGGATTCCAACCTCTCTTCAGGACCATAAAGAAAAAAAGACTCCAGGAAGAAGCTGACATGGGAAGAGCTGAAAGCCTCCATCATGTCCCTACCCACAGTGCTGCTCTAGAGCCTTCGGGGAATTTCTCTTGAGGAAAAATCAGGGACTTTCCCTCTTGGTTGAGCTGAGTTACCTCACTCCCAATGGAGAGCTCATTTACTCTGTATATTGTCTTGAGATACATATATATGTGCGTGTGTGTGTGTGTGTATGTATGTGTGTATATATTTGCATTTATGTTTGTATGTATGTATATCCATTTATTTATATTTTCCTATGTATACTTTCTTTGATTTCTGTTTTGCTTCTGACTCGGATAAATGGATTTATTTGCTATTGGCTATGTATATTCATTGTGGGCCTAGCATTTGATGGGAAGGGAGTCGAGCCTTCAATATAAAGCTTGGAGTCATCATTTATCCTTTTAGATATAGCAATCAGGAGTTTAGATTGAACCTAAAAATTACATCCCCTAGACTAATAATATTTAAGGAAGAACATAGAAATAATTCTAGCCCAGTACTCCTTCTCTCAGAGGAAACTGGAGTGGTGGCCAGCCTTCAGACCCAACTTCCTACTTTCCCTCCTAATAGGAATTAAAATTTCCCTTGGAAAAAGGTGGAGGGAGGAGATGCTAGATATATAACTATTCTAGACATTCATGACACTTATATTTATATTTACCAAATGGTTCAGCCATTTTACAAACCAAAATATGACTGTTCCCATTCCACAGATGAACAAAGACACTCAGAATGTCAGTGGCTGATTGTGGGAACACCCAAAGGTGGGGCTTGAAATATAGGTATACCAATAGTTCATTATCCTCTGCAGAATTATTATTTCATTTTTTTAGAGCCCCAAATAGTTTGGGTCCTTTTCTAAGGAGTCATAACTATTTGGGACCTCCCCTACTGAAATATAAAACCTATAAAATCTCTCCCAGTTCAGTCTTTGATAATCAACACTTATGACTCCTAGGACACCTGGAGCACATACCTTGTTGATTCTAAATGGACATTCTTTTGTTTCAGATTCAGGAAATTTCTTCATCCATTTTCCTATGAAATAGGCTGCATTCACCACAAGGATCTTGGTTTGATCATTTACACTGTCATCACTCAAGATGTTCTCAAAATGGCCTGAAAAGATATTTTAAAAACCCACACAAATTTCACAAAATGAATTTTCTAAATTTGACATCTTATATTTTTACCTATTGGTTTGTGAAAGTGGAAGTGAAGTCATTCAACGCCTCTACCTTTTTCCTCAGACAGCCTTGGGTAGGATGTCCATGAGCACTTGTGATAGGAATGGGAGAAGCACACAATATGCTCAAAATTTCCCAGCTAGCTAACTGGCTGAAAAAATTTCTTTGGGGAAGGAGAAGGAATTTAGCAGGGAGTCCTTGCTTACACATTAACATAGAAACAGCGGGCATCTCTATTAGCCAGGGATATTCAGGGAAGCAGAAGCCATAGGACATAAACCATGCCACCCACAGAAGCATGGACATGGGAGAACTTGAGTTGGGAGCCAGGGGACTTGGGTTTTAGTCCCACTTCTGACTCTGACTCTGTGTGGCATTTGGGCAAATCACTTCCTTCTCAGGCCCTTATTTTTTTCACATTTCAAATGGAAGAGTTGGACTAGATAATGGCTAAGGCTAGTTCAAATCTGAAATTTCATGATTTCTGTGATTCACATATCACATGAGATGCTAAAGCTCAGAGTGAACTGAGTCTGTCCAAGAAAGTCAAAACAATAAAATTTGCTCTGGGGGAAAGAGGTGCTTGCTTTTCAAGTTAAAGTAGAAGATCATAGGATAGATAAGGAGATAAAAGCAAATGACATGAAGGTAAAATTACAGAAATATTATTTTCCTTCTCTTTTCTCTGTCAAAGTGAATTATCATTAGACTGAAATAGAATAAAAGTGGTTAATAGGTACAACCACTTGTCAGGTAAGTTATAGTGGAGATACCTGTCACATATGGTTCATATTAAATGGTCACTGTGATCTCTTCCCACTCTCAAATTCTGTGATTCTGTGACTGGTCATTCTGAGTTAAAATACAGATTAATAATCAATTCCAGTTACCAAACCCAGACAAACTGAATCCCAATATAAAAAAAAAAATTTTTTTTGGTGACTGCTGAGGCCAAGGTCTTCAAAAGATCTTGAAGGAGGGAAGAGGTGTCACATAATTAAAGGGAAAAATTGTCCCAATTTTTTTTCTTCAAAATAAAAAAGCAGGAAGGGGAATAGAGTATACAAACATAGGCTAATGAGCTTGACCTAGCAAATTTCGAGAACGTATCATAAGAAACAGTCATTAGCCATCATTTAGGAAAAAAGTGGTAATCACAAGGTTTTGACAAGGTTAATAGCTTAACAGATCATGGAAATTCTATAGATATTATTTACCTAGATTTTGAAAAAATACTTGTTTTGGTGTTTTTTGGTGAGGCAATTGGGGTTTAGTGACTTGCCCAGGGTCACACAGCTAGTAAGTGTCAAGTATCTGGTCTGAGGTTGGATTTGAACTCAGGTCTTCCTGACTGCAGGCCTGGTGCTCTATCCACTGTGCCACCTAGCTGCCCCTTGGAAAAATATTTGACCAAATCTCTCCTGCTATCTTTGTGGACAAGGTAGAGAAATGAGAGTTAGATGATAGTATAAGGAGAGAGATTCAGAACTGGTTGAACGAGCAGACCTAATGATTAGTTATTAATGGTTCAATGATGGTTTGAAAATTGATCTCTCCAAGAATCTCTTCTTAGCCCTGTGCTATTATTTAACATATTTGTCAATATCTTTAATAGAGGTAAAAATGGCATGTTTCTCAAATTTCAAGATGACATAAAGCCGACAGGTTCCAAAACTTTTTCAATAGGCTGGGCATTGGGCTTAATCTGGTAAGATTAATTTCAGGTCTTATAATTGGTTAAAAAAATCTACCTCATAAACTCAAGCTAGGGGAAGATTTAGCTAAATAACGGTGTGTCTGAAAAGGATGTGAGAGTTCTAGAAGACTGCAAGTTCATTGTGAGCCAGCTGTGCTCTATAGCAGCCAAGAAAGTTAATATAATTTTAGGCTACATTGAGAGAGGAATGGCAATAGTCCCTCTGCACTCTACCCTGGTCAGGCACACCTAGAGTATTGTGTTCCATTCTTCATGCCACATTTCAGATTAAGCATCAATAAGCAACCAGAACAGGACAACCAGGATGATAAAAAGGGCTTGAGATCACACCATATGAGGATCCATTGAGGAAACTGGGATGTTTTCCATGAAGAAGACACTAGGGGTGGGGAGGATAGGGCTAAATAACTAGCTGTGTAGCCCTAAGCAAGTCATCTAACCAGGTTTGCTGTAGTGTCCTCATCTGTAAAATGGGCTGGAGAAAGAAATGGAAAACTACTCCATTATCTTTGCCAAGAAAACCCCAAATGGGGTCATGAAGAGTTGGATACGGCTGTAACAACTGAACAACAATGAAGGAAAACTTCTTAGTAGCTCCAGCTATCTCTCACTGGAGGTCATGAAGCAAAGTCAATATGAGAGCTTGTCAGTTATTGTCTACAGGGGATTCTTGTTGCATGAGGTGGCTTCTAAAAATCCTTCCCACTCTGGCATTGCATGATTATACAGTTCAAACCTTGAGAGTTCCAGTGGGACCCCTACTTCCCCATTCCATGACAAATTATCCACTGACTGAAAAGAGTGTGATAAGAATATTCTAAGTACAGAATTCAGTTAAGAATTTTCAAGAAGTAAATGTTACCTTCGACCTGCCAGTCTGACTTAAGGAAACTCTATTTTTTTGTTGTTGGTTGTTTTTGGATAAATGTAAGTTGCATCCATTCCAAAGTGTGCTCTGCACAGTGAAACTAAAAACTAACCGTTATGTCTTCAGACATAATCCCTAGTCTATCTGAATTTTAAATTATTGAAACCCTTCCAAGAAGATATCTGTTAAACTGTTCTAAGGAGCAAACCATTTAAGTGATTATGCCTAGTAAAGGAAAAATTATTTGCACTGTGACAGATGTTTTAATCCGTATAAACCTATGGGTCTTTATACCAAATTTTCATTTAAAGTAGGGGTTTTTAACCCTTTTTTTGTGTCATGGTCTTATAATCTGGCATAGCCTATCACCCCTCTCACAATAATGAGTTTTTTAATTCATAATTGAAAGAAATACTAAATTTTAATTAGAAGTTAGTAAAGAATAAGTGTATAAATGTTTCCCTTCAAAATTTATTTCCCCTGAAATCTATCCATGAACCCATTGGAGGTCAATGGACCTCAGGTTAAGAATTCCTGTTTAAATAGAAATGAAGAAAAAGCACAGTGGAGAGGGGAAAAAAACAGAAGGAAAAAATACTGTATGACAGATTGGTAAATCACAAAATCACACTTGTGAAGAAGAGATTTACATTCTCACAAAGGCAAAATAGGTCTCTGATTATGAGATTTGATTTGAGAGCTTGACCCTTGTCTAAAAAAACCTCTCCTTGACTCAAATTCTATAATCCTTGAAATGCTCATTATTAGAATTACTTCCCTGGGTTAAAGATTTGTCCCCAAAAGGCTCCCATTAAAATACAAATGTGCTGCCTGGGAAGAGAAGCCCATAATCATATCATTTTAGATTCATTTAGAGATTTTCTAGGGAAAACAGAACACTGAGGCTCTGTTGAACACAAGATTCATAAGCTTTTAAGGGGAAAGCAGAGGGATGTGCTCAAGTATAAGAAACAGAAAGAAAGATGGGGTAAGTGCATGGTATTACTAAGCACGGTGAGAGCTGGGTAGGCCCCTGGAGAGGAGCCTTCATTGGGTTATAATGATGCATTGATAGACTATAAGTGCGTCAGTAACATACAGAGAAGGAGGCAGAAGTAAGGCAGTTATAAGAGATGGCTTGAGAACTAAAGACACATTACACCTGCTTCATGATGCTGCCTAGATCCGGCCTGGAAGAAAATAATCTTTTTTTTTCTCCTTTTCATTGAATTTTTGGAACAGAAGGTAAAGGAACTGACATGAGATATATTATTTAATTATCTTAAACACATGAGGGTAAAGAACACTGGCCCAGAGAACCTGAATCATGCCTCTTAAGCTTACTACCTGTGTGACCTTGGACAAATGACTTATGTTCCTCAGGCCTCAGTTTGTTCATCTGTAAAAGTAGTGTGGGTGGTGCAGCAGATAGAGCACCAGGCCTGGAGTCAGGAAGATCTGAGTTCAAATCCAGCCTCAGACACTTACTAGCTGTATGACCCTGGGCAAGTCACTGAACCCTGTCTGCCTCAGTTTCCTCACCTGTAAAATGAGCTGGAAAAGGAACTGGAAAATCACTCCAGTATGTTTGCCAAGAAAACCTTAAATGGAGTCACGAAGGGTCGGACATCACTGACTTAACTGAACAACAAAATGAGATGGTTGGAGTGGATGACCTCCAAGGTCTTTCCCAGCTCTAGATCCTATCAGCCTATGTAGACTTACACACATGTACGCTTAAACAATGAGAGCTGACCTAAAGGGGAAAAATAAAAATAGAAAAACGATGATATGAAAATGAAAGGAGAAATGCCTTGATCCTGGGGAAATCACCATAGTAAGACCATTTGGTTCTGCCTGAAAAAAACAGTCTTAAACTAAGTGACTACTCCAAGTTTCTTACAGGTATGTAATTATAATTGATCTGATATGTGTTGGCTTGGGATGATAGAAGAAAAAGCAGACTCTGGTCACTACTACAGCACTGAATTAGAAGGTACTTGCCATCTGTAAGGTCCTTAATAGATTTGTTGATCTGGCCTTTAGTTTCTTCCAGTTTATCCTTAAAGTCAACAGTTTCCATTTCATTTGCATAGGGCCTTTTAGTGGCACTGACAAATTCCTGAAAAACATGAATTTTACAATGTAGACTCATTACACATTATTTAAAAGAGAAAAGAAAGTCTTGACCTACTACGCACAACTATCATCATTCTACTACATTTTACACAATTCTGTAAAAAACTTTCTTTGTCTGATGCCTTATTGTGGCATGGAGGTAGCTCTGAGTCCCTGGAAAATATGGTAACAGCTTATGTTGTTACATATGCCAACTCAGCAACAGACAATGTGTCTGCTTCTTGATGACCAACCCTGTGTTTGGAGAAGCTCAACACCAGGAAGTTAGACACCAGGCACTGAACTGTTTGACCACAGCAACTCATTGAATTGCCTACTAAGGGTGAAGAGCTTGTGATCAACATTTGTGGAGAGAGCACCCTGACCCATGAAAACACAAATCCTTTGAAGTATTGAGGAATAATCACAACTATCTTTTCAAATGCTGTAGCACTGTGTATTTTGAAGAGGAAAAGAAAGAGAAGGAAGAGGAGGAAGAGAAGTGAAAAAGGAATAGGAAGAGGAGAGGAAGAAAGTAGAAAGGAAGGAAAAGGAAGAAGGGAAGATGTAAAGGAAAAAGAAGAGGGGAAGATGGCAGAGAAGGAGAAAGAAAAGGAGGAAGAGAACAAGGAAAGAGAGGACATGGAGGTAAAAAGATGGAAGAGGAGGAGGGGAAAGAGAGAAAGGAGAATAAGGAAGAGAAAGAAAGGCAAAGAGACAAAGAAGGAGGAGAAAGGAGGAGGAGAAAAAGAGGAGGCAAAAAGAAAGAAGACTAGGAAGGAGAGAAGGAGAATAAGAAGGAGTGGAAGAAGGAAGGGAAAAAAGAGGAAGAGGAAAAGGTCAAGAACGAAGAGGAAGAGAACTGATTATTTATATAGAGAAGTCAATGGATTTTTCTAAGCAGGAAACAGAATTACTAATAAAACATGCAAATAGCACACAACCAAAACTAGCAATGGAAAGTAAATAGCAAAAACCAAATTCCATGAATTTGGCCAAAACGATTCATAAGCTTCCAAGGTAGCAGTACAGTCCACCTATGAAACAGATCACTTTCCCTCCTAGTACTATCAAAAATCTTATGCAGTATTACGCCATATAACAGCTTAATGGTAACTACTGTAGTGGTTGCCACCTAAATAGTTTATAAGAGCCAGCTTAACTGCAACTCTCAGAATGAAGTAGCTTCCACTAAAGCCAGTGGCAACCACTCCCACCTCCACCCCAAGGGGGAAGAGCAAGGAATAAACATTTATATAACACCTACTATGTTCCAGTCACTGTACCAAATGCTTTACAACTAACTAGAACAGAAGGAAACTTTATCCATATCCTAAAGATGGATTCTCACCTTCAACAAATATATATATTTATATATGTATGGAGAGAGAGAGAGAGAGAGAGAGAGAGAGAGAGAGTATGTATCATCTATTAAGTTTAAGCATTAATATTTTACAATAAATGAAGTCTGTGGAAACATTATTTCAGTCTATAGGTTGGCAAATTAGGGCAGCTGGGTTTCACAGGAGCTAGACCCCTGGGCCTAGAGTCAGGAAGCTGCTGTCAGTTTAGTCATTTCAGTTGTGTCTGACCCTTTGTGACCCCATTTGGGGGTTTTCTTGACAAAGATACTAGAATGGTTGGCCATTTCCTTCTCGAGTCTTCCTTATCTATATCTTGTCACAGGACTCAGATGGCTCCAGAGGAGAAAGTGAGCCTGATGACTTTCTTTCTTTCTTCCTCCAGAGGAGGAGAAAGTGAGGTGGCTTTGCACAGCCCTCCCTCACTTAAATCCTATTCACTCGCATGTCATGGCATCACCTCCCTAATGTCATAGTCTTCTTCAAGAACAGAGGACACACAACAACCAGCTCGTTATACATGTGAAGAAACAGACAAATGGGGTTAAGTGACTTGCCCAGGGTCACAGAGCTAGTAAGGTCTGCGGCTGGATCTGAACTCAGGCCTTCCTGACTCCAGGCCTGGTACTCTATCCATTTCACCACCTAGCTGTCCAACATTTGAAATTACCTGAGCCTTAAGAATGGGCATCTTTCTTATCTGCTGCCCAAAGCAGTAAAATTATGGTAGGGTATTTAACTTAGTGGTCTGGTAATTCAGTTTAGAATGCTTGAATCCCACAGTGCTTTATGTGGAGAGAACATTCTATAAGGCTGAAATTCTGGACATTTTTCTGCCCATTGGAGTCAGAAGTGATTTTCGTCCAACCTAAAATGACACTACTGATGTTCATTTAAGATTGGACTAGCTATTGATATCACTAACTCCTGACTACTGAAATCTGTGCTCTGACATGGCTGATCTTCACTGGTAATTAAGGAAGGTTAAAACAAAACAAAATAAAAGCTCATTGCGTGTAGTCAAAATGAAGAAGACAGATGAGCAGAATATCCAGATATCTGAAGCAAAACACTGCTGAGGAAGAAATGAGCTCGGCTATCAACACTGGTTAAATTAACCAGAATGTGTCTGGTTTTCCAGCTGTTTTCGCCCATGCGAATGTAGTCTAGGAGTGAGAGTAGAATGGAAGTATGTTAAAGACAAGATGTGAAAGAGAAACAAATGATCTTCTTGTCTTATCTTGTCAGTTTCTTGTGTTAATTGAACCTAGCCTCTTAGGATTGCCTTTTTAAAAAAATAATGCACTAATGATAATAAATAGTAAATTGGGATCATTCCAATAAAAGCTTCCTCATAACACTGTCTGCTGAAATAAATCTAGGGGAAGAACTATATGCAAAAATTTTGTATAAATGTGGCATGTAAAAAATAGAGGGTAAGGTGATTTTCTCTCCTGTTATATTAATATCATTGGCTAGATAAATGATCAGAGAGCATTAGGCCAGTCAGGAGTGGGTTGTTATGTCATCAACGGTTGGCCTAATATTTACCGAAAGTTGACATATAGTAGATAGACTATCAGGCTGTAGTTAGGAAGACTCATCTTTTTTAGTTCAAATCTGGCCTCAGATACTTACTAGATATGTAACCCTACATAAGTCACTTAACCCAGTTTGCCTCAGTTTCTTCATCTGTAAAATGAGCTGGAGAGGGAAACAGCAAACCATTCTGGCATCAATGCCAAGAAAACCTCAAATGGGGTCATAAAGAGTTGGACATAACTGAAAATAACTGAACCAAATGTTTAGTGACAGGTCAGTCAGCCATGGACAGAAATTTTTTAAATGTTGAAAGAGGATATGTGTATCCTGCTCACCTTGGGATCATAGATTTGGAAGTGAAAGAAAGACCTTTAAAGTCATCTAGACTAATTCCTCATTTTACAGAATATAAGTAACTTGCCTAAGGTCACATAGTAAGAGGCAGAACTGAGATTTGAACCTAAGCTCTCTGATTCCAAATCCAGAACTCCTTACACTGAACCACTTCGTGGTTCAACAAAATGTGACGATCCCAGGGTACATCTGCTGCTTTAGAAATTTGGGGGCAGCAGCAATTACTGCCAGATGCTCAGGCTTTAATGAGTGGCTCCCTAGTCACCCCATAAATAATTAAGGAGAGGGTTAGCTGAAGCTCAGGTGTCCCTAAATGCCCCTGTGAGGCTACAACCCTGTATACAGCTCTAAAAGTGTGAAAAGAAACATGAGCCAAGTTTTGTTTTAAACGTTTTTTAAAGCAACTTACCGCACATGGGTTCAGAGATTTATCTACATAGAGTCGCTTGATTAGCTTCAGGGAGTAGAAAGAACTGAGTTTGTTTACGTCAGAGGTCACTGTTTGAAACCCAAAAGGTACATCTTTGACATTTTCAAAGTGAAGGACCTGTGAACAAAAAGAAGAAGCTGCTTAATGGAAACTATTGATCTTTTCTGTCGCTGTTGGACAGCTCAGTTCAACCTTCATTTATTAAGTCCTGGCCAAGTTCAATGTCCTGTGCTAGGCACTGGGTGAGGAATGTGCTTGGGGGAAAGGGGCCAAGACACAAATCACATGACTCACCGTTCCTGACTTCACAAAGCTTGTAGTTTAATAGGGGAATATGGTACATGCATAAATAACTACACTCCATTCTCTTGGTTCTGGGCAGATGGGTGGTGCAGTGGGTAGAGTGCCAGGCTTGGAGTCAGAAAGACTCATCTTCCTGAGTTAAAATCTAGCCTCAGACACTCACTAGTTGCATGATCCTGAGCAAGTCACTTAACCGTCTTTGCCTCAGTTTCCTCATCTGTAAAATGAGCTAGAGAAGGCAATGGCAGCAAACCACTCCAGTATCTTTGCCAAGAAAACCCCAAATGAGGCCACAGAGAGTCAGAAAAATTAACAACAATGACATCGTCTTAGTTAGTTGTGTTAGGAATGATGTTCCTAATGTTAACACTGGACGATTTTCAAACATGATTAAGTTTCAAGTTCCCTCAAAGATGAAACGAGGATCACGATTTGGAGAAACAATATTTCATGAAAATGGTAATATTTAATAATAATAAATGATATTTTATAGCACCTTAAGGTTTCCAAAGTACTTTACACACATCATCTCACTTAGGCTTAAAAAGCTCTGTGAATTGGGTGTGATAGGCATTATTATGGCCATATTATGGATGAAGAAACTAACGTAAAGAAAGGTTGTGACTTGCCTTGAGTCATACAGCTAGTAATCATCAGACCTGGGCTTTGTACTGCTTCTTCAGTCTGAGTCTATTATGGCACACTACAAAACCCTGGGGAAACACTAGCCCCAGACAGGCTGTATGATTTAAACAAAGCCTCACACGTGAAGGGGGCAGAGTCCAGGGTAGAAGGCAGAGCAAGACGAAGCATGTACTGCCACCCCCAGTCCTTTCAGAAATACTCCCCTGAGGGAAAACAGACTTATTGCTAAGGTGAAACCAGGGAAATAGCAATATAATAAGAATTTGTTTCCGTCATTTTTCAGTCCTGCCTGATTCTTTGTGACCCCATTTGGAATTTTCTTAGCAAAGGTACTGGAATGGTTTGCCATTTTCTTCTCCAGCTCATTTTACGGGTGAGGAAACTGAGGCAAACAGGGTAGGAGACTTGTCCAGGGTCATACAGCTAGTAGATATATGAGGTGGGATTTGAATTCAGGTTTCCCTAACTCCAGACCCAGTGCTCTATCCACTATACCATCTCATTCCAAGGAGAGTCATGTGAGTATAGTTCTCTTCTACTCCATTGCTAATGTTTGTTAAATAAACCATACATGGCCAAAAGAACTTGTTCTAACTGATCTATCACAGACATATTTGAAGTAGGCAATGTGGGGTAGAGGAAAGCACAATGGATTTGTGGTCAGAAAACCTGGGTTCGAATCCTGGGTCTGCAACTTATTACTCTGGACAAGGCACTTAAAATTATTGGAGTCTAGAGCTTTCTTATCTGTAAAAGGAAAGAGCTGGACAAAATGATCTCTAAGGTCCCATTCAGCTCTAAATCTATGACCCTATCTTTTTTCTTTTTTCTTTTTTTTTTTGCTTTTTGGTGAGGCAGTTGGAGTTAAGTGACTTGCCCAAGATTATACAGCTAGTAAGTGTCAAGTGTCTGAGGTTGGATTTGAACTCAGGTCCTCCTGACTCCAAGGCCGGACTAATATATCCACTGCGTCACTTAGCTGCCCCTGACCCTATCATTTTTTTAATCTCTTAGGGATCCTCCCTTCTCCCCCGGTTTTTTTTTTTGAGGGAAATGAACTTTGGGGAGCTTGGCATGGAAATTGCACCCTGCCAGGCACTGTGCTAAGTGCTTTATCATCATCATCATCATCATCATTTGATACTCACAACAACCTTGGGAGGTAGGTGCTATTATCATCCCCATTTACAGATGAGAAAACTGAGGCAAACAGAGGTCAATGACTTGCCCAAAGTCACAAAGCTAGTGAATGTCTGAGGCTGGATTTGAACTCAGGCCTTCTTAACTCCAGGTCTGGATCTCTACCCACTGTGCCCCTTCGCTTTCATAGTTTCCCACACTGTGTCTAATGTAACGTTTACACGTGCTTCGTTAGATTGCATACAAGGATCCATACCATAGATTTTTACTGTTGTTGTTGAAGGTGAGAGTCCATTTTTAGGATCTGGATGAAGTTTCCCTAGGTTCTAGTTTGGTTGTAAAGTATGTAGCACTGTTCCTGGAACACAATAGGTGCTCTATAAATGCACACATACAAGGTAGTGGGATTTTTCAGAAAGCAAGCTTAAGGTGCCTTTTGGTAAGAGCCTCTATTTCTTTCTTTACAGCAATAGGTGCCAGGTTGTCTTGCATTTTATTCCAAAAACAGAGCCCCAGCTGGGTGTTATGAAAACAACAGAAAAGCAATTGGCAGAGAGAGTAATAATCCTAGAAGAGGAGAAATGCGTGGTAAGCCCAAGAGTGCTGCTCTGAACTGTTCTAAAGTTGGCCTGTGTAAAAAAGGAAACTTCATAAATCATACGTCCTACCACCTCAAGGACAACCCACCAAGGCCCTCCCTAATCCACTCAGCCTTGTCAACCTTGTCCACTGCTAGTCTTCTGTATACAATGTCTACTTCCTGCAGCCTCTCTTCACTCCCTTTTGGCCATGCCCTATTCAATTCCACCTTCATCTTCTGCTACCTGGCTCACGCTCATTTCTCACTTCTCACCAACACCTTTCATGGAATCATACATTTAGATCTGGAAAGAATATCAGAGGCTGTCTAATACAAACAGATTTTTTACAGATAGGGAAACTGAGTCTCAGAAACATTAAGTTTCTTGCCCAAGGTCATACAAGCAGTAAATAACAGAGCTAAGATTTGACCTGAGGTTTCTCTGACTTCATACCCAGAGTTTTTTTCACTATACTGTGCTGCACAAATTTTGCCCATCCTTTAGGACCTGGCTCAAGTCCCATTTTCTCCATAAAGCCTTCTCCAATCTTTCCAACCCTGGTGTCTTCTTTCCCCTGAACTCTTACTGCACGTAATTTTAAAGCTCCAGATTAGCAACTAAGAATTATCTGATTGTTTCATGTAGTTTTGTTTTCTCAAACAGAATATAAGAACTAGTCTTATAACCTTTCTGTATCTCATCCATCACACAAGTCTAAAGGCAGTGCATCTAGTGGAATCACAGAATGTTCAAGCTAGAAGGGATGTAAGAGAGCAAGTCCAACCTTCTCATTGGAATAGGCTGAGGCTCTAAGAATCTATGGCTTGTATTGTTCAGTTGTTTTAGTCATGTCTGACCTTTCCTGACCCCATTTGGGGTTTTCTTGGCAAAGATACTGGAGTGGTTTGCCATTTCTTTTCCAGATTGTTTTATAAATGAGGAAACTGAGGCAAATAAGGTTAAGTGACTTGGCCAGGGTCACACAGCTAGTATCTGAGGCCAAATGTGAATTCAGGTCTCCCTGACTCCAGGCCCAGTACTCTATCCACTGTGCCACCTAGCTGCCCAACATGGCTTACTCAAAATCAAATTTAGTGACTATTTAGTGACAGAATTGTAATATTATGGTAGAATTTTTAAAAATCCTGGATTTGGACCTGAGTTCAAATCTTAGCCCTACCTTTTGAGTATATTATTTTACCATTCTGGCCTTTATTTTTCTCATCTGTAGGATGAGGGAATTGGATGAAAAGATCCATAAAGTCCTTTTGAGCTCCTAATTCCTAAAATCCTATGAATCTGGTTCTCTGACTCCTCGTACCCATTACACCACAAAGCCTTGATGCCACATATAACCACTCAATAAATATAGGTTGATTGGCTGGTGAGTTGACACGATTGAAGCATTTTGTCCCTTTAGTCCTTACTTTAACTCTTTGGGTACCACAGAAGGTTCCCCTAAGCCTCAGAGAGGGCATCCCAGAAAACTGTTTCAGTTTCTTCAGGAGTTGCTACAACCTGGCCATGCCTCCAGAATCTGATAAGTATTAAATCCTACATTTTCACTCCTGATTTGAATCACCAAATATTCTCTCTCCAGTACAAACTAATCTAAATACAAAGTGCTTGTAACCTCACAACAAATAAAGCGGAGACTGCATACTCGAGAGACCTACACCATCTGACGATGAGAAGTCATGTTGTCACAATGTTCCCAACTCTCATTGACACACAGCAGGGCCTCTGGCTGGGAGATCAGAAAACTAAACAACCAAGCTGACTGCTGAGAAGATCACTGGGGAGGCAGCTGGGTGGAAGGGGTGTACAGGACCACATCTCCTTTTTGTACTTTGTCTCTTAAGGTTGCCCTATTCCCTTATGTTGTTAAAGCTCTGTGTAAAGATTTATTATCATTACTTATAATAATAATAATAATTTAGTGCTTTATGCATTGAAGCATTATTATCGACTCATTATCAATTTTGAACTTTAAGGAAATAAAGATATTTTGCCAGGGATAACACTCAGGGGAAGGTCTTAATTCAGAAAGGCTAAGGTCACCCACTGCATCCCAGGGCATCATCGGTCATCTCGATTTTCATCTTGCCACTAGACTCCAATGGCTCTGGAGGAGAAAGTGAGGCTGACAACTGAGACTCTGCCTCACTTAAATTCCAATGCACACACAAGTCAAGACATTACCCTCATGATGGCATTGGTCCTCTCTGAGAACAAAGGATAAACAATGAACAACTCTCCTATGCATCTGTACTTTCCAGAAAAATGGATTGAATGGGGGAGGGGGGATGTGGAGGTGGAGGGTTGATAGGGAAGAGACAGATGAGGCAAGGGCTACTGTCTTGGACTTTTATCTCTAGGCTTCATGTAAACCATGACCCAGACAGCCCCAGGAATGTTTAAGGGCTCATCCAGAGACACTGGGCTCAAAGTTCTTAAGAGTTCCCCGGAGGGGAAAAAAAGTGCTACTGAACTACAAAATGATCATTAGTATAGTAATGCTAGATTATAGGAAATTTCATCTGATGACTAAAAGTAAATGGGGGTATGAATAAAGATAATAAGAAATACACTCTATGGAAATAAGCATTGGGTGGAAAAAGACTAGGGCAAAATAAAGATTTGCAAACTTTCCTGCACCTTACCACCAAGGGAACTAACTCATCCACGCTAGCACCAAAAAGCTTTAATTAGATCTCATGCTTCACTGAGTGTTGACAAAAGCTGCACTGACTAAAGGAAGAGAATAATATTTTACATTTGCACAGTACTTGGGGAGGAAGGTCTCTAGCATGTTGGGTGCACCCCCAGTGGCCAAGGTATGAAAGAATATATCTAAGAGTTGGCCTACATGGATTGGGGGGATGGTAATATGGGTTACTGGAGGGCACATCCAAGTTGATGAGATCACAGATCCGTAAGGGCATGGTGCTTCTCGAAATGTTTTCAAAGGCATTATGTTATTTGACCTCACCACGTGCCCTATGAAATTGTAGGGAACAGGAACTATCTTCTCCATTTTACAGATTAGGAAATTGTGATGAAGAGAGGTTAAGTAACTCAATGTAATTATTGGCAAAGCTTGGACTAGAACCCAGTATTAGAGAGTTCAGGGATCTTTCTATTATATCACAATGCCTGATATGAAACACTTTTCTTGGGGCTGCTGTGGTCTCAATCAGATAGAGACCACCAGGACCTATTTTAAAATAGCAGAGCAAATTCCACAAAACCATGCTATTCAACTGCAGAAACTTCCTGTTCAACATGGGAATGTAAGTATGAAGAAAATTGGCTGTGCCTTAATTCTCGCAGTAATGCTATGCTAAAATTCCTCCCACTTTCCCCCTAGATATTATCCAAGTAAAAGTAAATGCTATTAGCTCTTAAAAATGAAAACCAAGAATCCAAAATGCACCTTTCCGATTTCATTTGCTGTATCACCTTTGGTGCCTACTTGAGCCAGGGACAGGGAAGTAGAAAGACATATTGGAGAGAAAAGGACGTTGCCTGCCACTTCCTTGTCACATAACTGTTTGAAAAGGTCAACAGCAAAAGCTGAATTTGCCAATCGTAGAGCATCCATTGTGAGCCTAGGATAGAAAAGTAAAGGAAAATATTACATTCATGCAATCACAAGGCATCTCAGAGTAGGGAAATCTTTCTGAGTCAATTTAATCCAATAAGAATCTAATCTATAGCATAGAAGATAATGCAAGACCTCCACGGTTGGAGGATAGGGAGACTAAGGGAAGGGGACAGACAGCCTCTTTCAAGCAAGAAAAGCTAAATGATTATTCTCAAAAGAGAGTCTTTCTTTAAAATTTCGGTGTTTAAAGCATTTCTGAATTGTTCCACTTCAACACTAGAATGATTCTGCCTTCAATGAGTAATTGTTACCAAGCATGGTGGCACACATCTATGAGCTCAGTTAAGGAGACTGAGGCTAGTAGACTGCTTGAGCTCTGAGTTCTGAGCTGCAATGAGCTATGCCAGTCAGATGTCCACCCTAAATCTGGCCTCAGTATGGTGAGCACTCAGGAGGGGGTGGAGATTGACTAAGGAGGGGCAAAGTGGCCCAAGTCAGCCAGTCAAAGCTTAGGTACCGTGGAGAGTTCCCTTCTCAGAATAATGTTTTAAAATGTATAAAATAAAATAAACCGAACTACAAAGGAAAACAATTATATTCTGAATCCAGAGAAAGAACTGATAAATAGATGTATAAAATGACTTTATATATTTATAAATTGTATTTACATATTTGTAATTGTATTTATACACACACACACACACACACACACACACACACACATTTGTATCTAATGAAAGCCATCTCCTAGGGGTGAGGATGGGGAAAAAAAAGGAAAAAAATTTACATGATAACTTTATTAAATATTTAAAAGGAATAGCAAGTTGTACGTAATAGATTTGCAGTTTCATGTGCAATCACCTTTTTAAAAATTATACTATGTTATGGAAATGCTTATTTTATTCCATAAATTAAAAATAAAATTTAAAAACAAAATACAGTTATCAAAATATTTTTTAAAACAGACTTACAAGCCCTTGAAATCTATACATGAAAATCCCTCCAGAATCTATGGACCCCAAGTTAAGAACTTCTGTCCTAGACTGTTCCTGAAATTTTGACCAATTCACTCACAATGACCATGCATTAAGAGTATAGTCATGCCAATTATGACAGTATATTTACTCATTCCTTCAACAAATGAGAGTATAATATAGTAGTAACATATTTATAAAGAAATTTACAATTTGCAAAGTGCCTGTGGCAAAGGTATATTATTGTCATAACAAACCTGTGAGGAAAGCAGTGTAGTATCTCCATTTTACAGATGGGGAAACTGAGGTCCAGAGAAGTTAAGCAACTGGCCAGTGGTCACAAATCTAGTGAGTGTAGGTGTGAGTCAATGAACTATCTGTTTCAGAGTCTATTAGCTGAATAAGATATAGTCCCTGCTCTGAAGGAGCTTAAAGTATAGTAGGGGGATGTGATCTATGCACACACCACTATTAATACAAGACAATGAGAATTCAGGGAGGGAGAGCTTACTTCTGGCTAAGGGGAATCTGGAAAGCTGTAAGGGAAACTGAGGAGGATAGATCCTCCCCAGTCCCCTGTGTAACCGTCTCATGACCTGATGGTGTAACTGCCTCATGACCTGACATAAAGATAAATGGAAGTTACCATGCATGGCCAGAGGTTACCATGGAGATGAAACATTAAATAAGCAACAAACTATGTTACCTGGAAAAGCAATTCATCTCCAGAAACGTTTTTCTTGAGAAAGGTGTGTAATTGTCCAAGGAATCGATTACTCCTTGGAGACTTACACAACAAACAGGTATTTAGGGGCTCTGATCAAGCCCCAACCTTTGTTAAAGATGGGTGCGTGCCTGAACATGAGCTCACCAAGGTTACGTACACACAACAAAATATCAAGATTGTTTTTCCCTGGTTTACATGGATATAAAAGGGATCATTTGGGAAGGGATTTTTGGAGTACTTTGATGTCAGAGATAGGGACGCCCAAATCTGCTGTGGTCAGAAGCAGAATGAGTGCACTGATTCTGTTGAGTCAGAGCAGGACTCCGCCCCATGGCCTCCCTGACCAACACCTTTTGGTGGTTCTTCAGTCTCCCTGGTCTATTAGGTGTTTGAGCTCGCCTGGTCAAGGAGTGTGTATCCTTTCTTTTCTTATTCCCCCTTTTCTTTATTTTGATTGCTATTTATTATATTGAATGTTTTTCTCATGTTTATGTCTGTGTGTTTTGCCTTAATCATTATTAATCATTGTAAAATATATGTGATAATTTGTTAAGTTTATACTGAGTACGTGCCATTATATCTTGAGATCCGAACCTAAATTGAAACTGCAAAGTAAGTAATCTTTTTGATTACAAAAGCCATCATGGAGGAGGTGGCATTTGAACCAGGCCTTAAAAGACAGAGAACAATCAAACAGGCAGAGATGGAGAAAGGACAGCCTGTTGTCGTCATTCAGTCGTTCAATCATATCTGACTTCAATCATGTATGACTTTTGTCCATGGGTTTTTCTTTGCAAAGATACTGGAGTGGTTTGCCATTTCCTTCTCCAATGTGCCCCCATTTTATGGATAAGGAGCTGAGGAAAATAGGGGTTAAGTGACTTGCCCAGGGTCACACAGCTAGTAAGTGTCTGAGGCCAGATTTGAACTTAGATGTTCCTGACTACAAGCCTGGTACTCTGCACCACCCAACTGCCCGTGAAAGGATGTTCTAGCCTGAAACAAGAGCATTAGCAAAAGCACAGAAATAGGAAAATGAGAAGTGCATTCAGAGACAACAATAATAGTATGGTTGAAACTTAGAGGGCACAAAGAGGAGAAATGAAGCTGAAGAGGAAGGATTGGGCCCAATCATGATGATCCTGGGCAGGTTTTATCTCTTTTAGAACTTTATTCTACAGGCAATGGGGAGCCACTGAAGATTTATAATTTCAAGGAGGATTTAACAGGATTGAATTAAAAAGATTAGAATTAAGTTAAAAAGAATAACCCAACTAAAATGTGTAGGATGGAATGTCCTGGGGGAGACAGGTCAGAAGGTTATTACAGTGATCCAGATGAGGTGACAGGAGCCTAAACCTATTTACATGGCAGGAGGGAGAATGAAAAGGCCCAGGGTGGAGCACAGAAAAGGCCCCACCGAGGTTGTGATCAGACATTTACTAGGTCTCTGATCCTGGGCAGCTTCCTTACTGTCTCTCAGAGCTTCAGTTTCTTTGTCTGTAAGATGGGGATAATAACATTGGAACCACCTCTGCACAGAGTGGTTGTGAGAACTGCACTTTGCAAACCTTTGAGTGCTATAAAAATGTGAGTCTGGGAGCTGTAACGGGCAGGACTTGGGCATGGACAGGCTAGAGGAGGAGCAAGGGCGAGCCAATGACATTATGAAGCCCAGGGGACCAACACAAAACAGGGAAGGCAGAAGGAAAGACAGGTGAAAGGACAGAACTGAAATACAGGCATGGGAGCCACCTGTCTGCAGAGGGGCAGCAGAAGAAGCCACAGGAACAAATAAAATTACCAAATGAGAGACTGAGGAGAGAGAAGAGAACAGGACAGGGATCTGAAACCTGGGAAGAAAAGACATTTTGAGGGTGGGAAGAGGAAGAAGAGTCATTGGAAGAGACAGTGAAGGAGCAACTCAAATAAGAGAAGAAAACCTCGAGAATTCAGCATCAATTAAGCCAAGGGAAGAGTTTCAAGGACCAGATGGGTCAACAGAGTGTTAAAGGTAGCAAAGATTCAAGAATAAGAGGTAGATCATCCCTTGTGAAGGTTCTGAGCAAATGAATATTTGATTCAATTCAACAAACACTTATTAAAACCCTATCTGTGGGGGCAGCTAGGTGGCTCAGTGGATAGAGCACTGGCCCTGAAGTCAGGAGGACCTGAGTTCAAATCCGGCCTCAGACTAAACACTTGACACTTACTAGCTGTGTGACCCTGGGCAAGTCACTTAACCCCAATTGCCTAAAAGCAAAAAAAAAACAAAACAGAACCTATCTGTGGAGCATGGCAGTTGGTGATGCTAGCCTGGAATTCAAGAGTGACATTAGTCAATCAATAAACCCGTACATGTTATGTTATATAAATGTAATTATATTGTATGTACTATTTGTACATTGCATATTTGCAAGTATTAGGACTGGGTATATAAATTTAAAAGTCATCTACAAAGAGAGAGGATAAAAGAAGGTACGGGAGGTGATAACATAATCAAGCAAGAAAATGCAGAGAGAAGTAGATGAAGAATAGATAGAGCAATGCCCACACTGAGAGGGTGGGAGGAATTCCATGAATCAGCATAAGAAACCAAGAATGTTTATTGAGTACTTACTACTGTTTGGCACTGGAAAATGCAAGGAAGCATAAGATACAATCCTTGACTCCCCACAGTTTACAAACTAGATGAAGAAATCACACAGATAAAAATAACCCCAATCCAAGAAGTGTGTGATTGCCATCAGGTACAGATAAAAAATGGGATTTGTTGTTGTTAAGTCATTTTATCAGTCATGTCCAACTCTTCATGACCCTATTTAGGGTTTTCTTGGCAAAGATTCTGGAATGGTTTGCCATTTTCTTCTCCAGCTTATTTTACGGATGAGGAAATTGAGGTAAACAGGGTTAAATGACTTACCCAGGGTTACACAGTTAGTAAGTGTCTAGGGCCAGAATAGATTTCAGGAAGATAACTCCCAACAAATGGGATAAGAGTTCATATAAACAAAAGAACATATGGCATGGAAAGAGCACTGAATTTAGAATCAGGGGACTTGGTATTGAATCCTGGTTCTGTTCTCTACCACCTGTGTAAATTTGAACAAGTCACTTTAATCTCTGTAGAATAATTTTCCTCATCTATAAAACAGAGGGATTAGATTAGATGCACTCCAATATCCCTCCCAACTCTAAATCCCATGATCCTATGATCCATTCCCATCTGAAAAATATAGGATGCTTGTAAAGAGGATATTGTAGCTAATAGTCACCTAATTAAAGGCCCATTTTGTCTCCTAC